TGGTCTGCAAACAGTCGAATTATGACGACCAAAAGCTCCTAGTCTCTGGACCGACCGACCAAACAAATTATTCGTAATATATAGCCATACAATAAATCCGTATAATGGTGCAACACGTATTATAAGAGCGGGTACGTAGAAGTAAACTCTTGTAAATGGTGATTGGATGGAACCACGATTCTCGTAATCCAGCAATGGACCTTACCAAGACCGCATTGTCACATTCCCAGTCCGAAGTCTAAAGAACCAGCTCTGACGCTGAACTTGGCTCGTCTCGGAACAACGAAGTTGCTTCTGTAACGAAGGTTAGAGTCCCTGAAAGTGACCAATGAACATCAATTACCTTGCGAGACGTAGGATTCCGAAGCAATTATCAAGGTCCATCCTGTCCTTGTGGAACTGACAGCAGAGCTCAATAATGTCTTCCACGTACAAGTAGTCGGACGTTTCGAGCAGCTGACCGACGTTTCCGTGATTAACGTCCATCTTCTTTGTGTACATATAATCCTGTATCTGGGCCATCATGTCCGAGCTGACTCCTTCCACGAGAAAGTCGTTCTGCTCGTGGGCGCGCAGTTTCTCGGTGAAGAGTTCGCTGGAACATCACGAAGCAGCCGTTAATACATAAACACACAGGGACTCTGCCCCCTTGAAGCGGAATGATATTGAGAAATGCGAACAGAAATTCATAATAGTAATTTACTCGAAGTTGTAGTCAAAAAGCAGTGAATAGTTTTGTTAACGTCTGTTGTGTGAAGAACGTATTTTTATTTTATGTGAATATTTTTCATACGTTGTGTGAGCTCGATATATCGAAGGATTTTAGGTTTTTCTCGTGCGGTGAGTAAGAAGATGGCCGACAGACTTCAAAGGCGCTACAAACGACAGGACAGCCATCTTGGTAATGGATGATTCAGGGACATCGCATAGATCATTGTCGTACAAAGCGAAGGCCCTCAGAATCAGAGCGTTGAGTAACCAACGCCTTCCCGATAAACAACTGAAGATACACGTCAGTGTCTGTGCATCGTGGCAACTGCCCCATAACCAGAGAGTAACGGGAGTCGACTTCTGTTAACACATTACACGGCGCAACAATCCAGAAGAGAGCCATCTTCATACTCGCCGCCCTGAGAACCTGACATCTCACCACAATAGACAAATCACAACATATAAAAAGCCATGCACAGATTTCAGTTTTCTGCAACGAAAAATGACATCAAACTTCACTTTCTACTTGGCGTCTGCTACGTTCTGAAGGTCTCTTACGTCCTAATTTTACGCGTTAACAACCTCAACAGCGGCCAATCAAACCTGAAATATTTGCTGAACTTCGAGAGGATCACACTGTGGACAGGAAAGGATCCGCCATCTTCCAGCTTCAAAACCACGTCACACTGAATCTCCTTCTCCCTGAACTCACTCAGATATTGCAATCCATCGGTGCACAAGCACTTCCTGTCTTGCAGAGAGCTGCAACTTCCTTGCTTTACAGCCATTCCTGAAAAAGGTCGTCCATTGTTTCAATTGACACACTCCTTATCAACTGACTGTCTGACAAGACGGCATTGAGAAGAATATTTGGGCCTGCCGGATAATGCGCAAAATTACACAAGGAAGAGACCATTTTGGAAACGTAAATATTAGTGGGATGATAATATTAAAATGGACACTAAGTAAATGGAGACTGAGGTCATGGACTGAATTCATATGCCTCGGGATATGGTCCAGATGAGGGGCTCGTAGTAATCTTGGTATTCAAATTTAGAGCGAAATGATTTGATTAAACGCGCTGCAATCAGATTCTCAAGCAGGGCTTGGACATGGCGTCAGTTATAGAATGTCTATCGAGATTCAATACGATTTATAGCAGTCGCTGAACAGAACCGTGAAGTTTTAGACGTCACATCCCAAATTTTTAATTTTTCACACCAGGTGAAGATTTTG